TTCAGAATTCATATTTTCTGTAAAATGTATCAAATTTCTCGATCTCTTAATAAATTTTTTTTATTATTTTTTTTCATTTAATTATTCCTGATGAATAAATACCAAAAAAGAAAAAGAAATAATAATAATAAAATTAAAAACTAAACATTATGCAGCAGCTGATTAAGGTAAGGCTGCGATATCCATCTCTCTCCCCCTGGGGATTTGACTTCTTTTTTAAAATTTTTTTTTTTTGCTAGTATTTTCACTGATTGGTAGTTAAAAAATGAGTGATTGCTCAAAAGCAAACATACATCCATTTTTTTTGATTCATTAGAATTGTCTCCAAAGTTTTCACTGAAATATATCTTTCTTTTTTTAAAAAAAAATCATTGCACAGAGACATCAATACTGTGAGACACTATGAGATTCAAGACGGCTGAGTGTGGTCCAGCTCTGGAACGTGACACTTGGCGGGGAGGGGGGGCCCCCCTGATGGAGTAAGAATATACAGGCACTAAGTCCGACGTGATGTCAGTAAGAGAGACAGAAAGAGAGAGAGCACACCCGTTAACATGGGGGAGGGATGTTGGGATTTGAGATATTTTTGTTTGCATTTTTTTTAATGGCAAAAGAAATTTAATCTCATCTGTAGTCCTCCTTAGGAAATTCTAATGTGACCAAATTTCCAAAGCCCATTCGAAGGCTCTCCATGTCAAAAGTTTCAATCTCTCGCTCTTGCCTTTCCAACAGAATCTTTATCCTCTCGCTGCGCTCCTTCTGCAAGGCAGCCAGCTCCTCTTCAATCTGAAATAAAGAAGAAACACAGGAATGGAGGGAGCCGCCTTATACCGAGTCTGACCTTTCGCCCGTTGAACAAAGTACAGTACTACCAATTCTGCCTGGCAGAAACTCTCTGGGAGGTCAGGCGTGATTCTTTCCTAGTGCTACCCAGAGATGGCTGGCACTCCCTGGTTCTCTCCCACCCAAATACAGTGGGGTCTCTACTTAAGAACGTCTCTACTTAAGAACAATCCAACTTAAGAACAGCTCCATTTGCTAAATTTTGCTTCTACTTGAGAAGAGAAATCCAAGATAAGAACAGGAAAAAAACCTTTCCTGCTCTTTTTTTAACCTTAGGGCATCTTAGGTTAAAAAAAATTCTCCCCCTAGTAGTAGAGTACGCATTAACCAGCTTTGTATTAGTTCCTATGGGAACTAATGCTTCAATGTACGAACGCACCTCTACATAACAGAAAAAACAGCCAGAATGGATTAATTGGTTTTCAGTCCATTCCTATGGGAAATTTTGCTTCAACTTAAGAACGTTTCAACTTAAGAACACCATTCCAAAACGGATTAAGTTCTTAAGTAGAGGTTCCACTGTAGTTTCTATGGACGGAAAAGAGCAGATACGGATTAAATGGTTTTCAATGCATTCCTATGGGAAATGCAGATTCAACATAAGAACTTTTCAACTCGAGAACCACCTTCCAATACGGATTAAGTTCCTAAGTAGAGACCCCACTGTACCGAGTGGGTAACTTGAAGGTGGTAAAGGGCTTGTGGGGGACGTGATGGTAAACAGCAGAGTTAGGACCAACTTTAGAACAGAAATTGACCGACGAGCCCTAAAACCTCAACAACGGGTCTAAATTAGGAGGATTTCCAGTGAGAAAGAAGTAGAAGGTGGTTCACAAGGGGAACTGGAGACTAGTAATTGGATGCTTCATCGTTCTCTCACCTACTGGATTTCCTTCTTCATTTCCCCTTCCCCATGGTGGTGGCTGTTTTAAAGTTTTATTGAAGTTTTAAAAAAAATGACAACAAACAACGCAACAGCCACAAATCAGCTGAATATTAGCTTCACTTACATTGTGACTGGCATGGAACAAGTAATTGGCAAGATAGCTCTCACAATGCCAGAACCATTGTCCGACCCATACAGGAGCATGGGATGAACTGTTATTGCTGGGATATTGAATAAAAGGGACCATGTTGCAAAGAATAGAGCTCCCCCCTGCCAATCCCCTAGGTTCAGTGGAGGCAAACCTTTTTCGGCTCGAGTGCCCAAAATGAGAGGGTGGGGAAGAAACCAGTGGTTGCCGTGCCACCTGGAAGATCAGAACTGGAACAAGAAGTGGCAGTTTCAGGGGGAATCATGGGGACAGACAGGAAGTTAAAGGGGGAATCATGGGGACGGACAGGAAGTTAAAGGACCCAGAACAGGAAGAGAAAGGGGGAATCCCAGCTGCAGCCACTTCAAAAGGTTTGTTGCATGCCAGAAGAAAGGGCTTCGCATGCCAGCTGTGGCATGCGTGCCATAAATTCGCCATCAATGCCCTAGTTATTTAACAAAAAAGTATTTTTTAATTGATAGGTTTTCTTCCATCGGCTCTCAGACTCTGAAAGTAGACGTATGACAGGTTTAAATAGGAAATACACTAGGAATGATGGTGGGAACCATTTGCGGGGGGGGGGGTCAGTAACTTTATTAATCCCCACTATCTTTCCATGCAAGGCTTCCCCTTTGCTGTTATGACATGTCGCCTCCAAAAGCTACGCCCTTTGTGTTGCAGGGCAACAGGATTTCACTGCCTGGAATTCTGCCACCCTGCTACGTAAAAGACAACACTTTTAGAGGTGAGCTGCCTCAAGTTATGAAATCTCCATAAACATTAGCTGCTGCATGCCGGGTGATGTGACTCAGTAATGCCTATGGAGATTTCTTGATTCGAGGCAATTCGCCTCCAAAAGCTACACCCTTTGTGTTGCAGGGCAACAGGATTTCAGCCACAGTCTGAAACACACAGGGACACATTTTTGCTAGTGAACACCTAGATTTGCCATTATGCAAAGGAACAAACTGTGGCAGAAGTTGCATCAGCACCCACAACCGATTGTGGTGTTGACACTAACAAGGAATTGGTCCCATTACTGAAATCTTAAGGAGCCCGATCCTCACAAAACTCACAGAGTCTTATAAGTAACCATGAGCCCTAGCACCGGTTGTTAATTCAACCAGGCGCCCAAGCATGACACGATCTGGGAAAGGCAAATCTTTCTATTACCAACAAAACAGTTCCTTTAACTACTCCTGGATCTGTAACTATGGACCACCCACATCATAATGGAGTACTTTGTGAATATTTGAATGTGATTTAAGTGTAATGGAAACATTCCTACACACCCCAAAAAGCTACATACTATTGCAATGTTAGCAGGTCATTGGCAACCTCTACATTTGAGTAGGACTGGTATTGGCAGTCCTAACTTTGCAATACATATCTAATTCAGTCTTGTAAGTAGTGGGTCACATGTGCTCGGCAGGGATTCTGACATTCTCATGCATTCTGACTCATGATGGGTCAATATCATCAGTCACTTGTCCCTTTCCATTGCTTATATTCAAACAAGAACATGGAGCATTTGTTCAGAAATCTGCCTCTCTATGCCTGCACAAAAGTGCTTTTGCCTACTTGCAGTATTTGTAAGAGTCAGCATGGTATTGTGGCCAGAGCACCAGACCAAGAATGAGGAGAACTGGGTTCAAATCCCCATTTGGCCATGGGAACTCGTTGGCTAGTGGCAATGTTTTGTGGCTGCAAAAATTCTCATCCGTCAACTTGGCGCTTGTGGGGCAATAACCTCTCACCTCCCCGTTCCATCTTGCCATACCTTTTGCTCAAGATGTGCCCTGCGCAATGACACCCTCTGCTCCAGCTTCTGGTGTTCGCGCTCATGCTGTGCTTCCGTCTGCATCTTGATTTTGCTCTGGTAGGCATTAAGCAGCTCCATCTCTTGCTGAAGCTGCAGCCGCAGGGCCTGGCATTCTGCTTCCTGAGCCTCGTCTAGCCGCAGCTGCAGGCAAGGGATTGAAAACAAGAGGGGCTTGTGAGTCAACCTGTGGGCTAAAACGGCACAAGGCAAATAACGAGGGCCTGTGTAGGCCTCCTTCACATGCTCTGAAGAGAGGTCTTGGAACACAATAACGAGGGCCTGTGTAGGCCTCCTTCCGTCTCGAGAGACCAGGGCCACATGCTCTGAAGAGAGGTCTTGGAACAGCGTCTAGTGTGGCTGAGAGTGACAATAACCAGGGCACAGTGGGGTAAAAAAGAAAGAAAACCAGACAAGGTCAAAACAAAGGCAGTATATGAGGGCAAACAGCGGCACCAAAAGAGAAGACAGTACAAAATTCAGATAAAGCACGGATCTCAGTGACCAACAGGGTGGTCTCACTTTTGTACTAGCAGCTCACCCCAGCCCCTCTTTTTCTCACTGGTTTCTTCCTTCAAAACCCCTCATGTCTTCCAGAGGTTTGTCCCCAGCGCCTCTTTTTCTCACTGGTTTCTTCCTTCAATTCCTCCATCCATTCCCTCCCCCTTCAATTCTGTTCTTTCCCTTCCACTGTACAGGGTGTCCTCCCTTATTATTTCACCATGCTGGCTCCCAATCTACATTCTCAGTGGCTCAACACTTCTGCTTGTTCACTCTCTCACATCCCTTCCTGCATCCAACTGGTCCACCCTGTCCTGAAATCCCCATCCTGTTTCCCTGCCTTTTAGCCAGGACTGTTCTTTTCCACGTGCTCTTGAACTTCATGTTTGTACCTTCCCCCTCTATTCTTTTCCCTTGGTGGTCCCTTTTCCCAAGCTGGTCTTTAAATCTGCTCTATGTAGGGCTGCCTTTAGCTGGTTCAAAAGACAGCCGCTACACTTCCAACTGGAGTCCATTCTAGGGAGCCCTTGCCACAGCCAGTGCATTTCTGGGCCTGATTCAAAGTGTTGGTCATTATCACTAAAGCTCTATACGGATTGGACCTAGCTGACCTGAAGGTCTGCATCTCCCCGTGTGAGCCTTCTCAGCTTTTAAGGTTGCTAAGAGTTGATCCTGCTCTCAGTCCCACTGCCAGTGCTGGCATGGTGGATGGGGAGGGCTGTCTTGATGGCAACTCCCAGGCTGCAGAATGCTCTCCTTCGGGAGGTCAGAATGACCCCCTCCCTTTCTTTTATCCTTCTGTCAGCTGTCGAAGACCCACCTCTTCAGGAAAGCTTTTAATAATCATAACTGACTCCCCGAATGCTGTTTTTTCAGTCAGTTTTTAAAAAAAGTTTTAAAAGTTTTTATTGTTATAGTTAATTTATGAAATCATGGAATAATTCAGATGGAAGGGGCTGTAAGGCCCTGGAGTCCCACCCCCTGCTCAGTGAAGGAATCCAAATCAAAGCACATCTGGCGGAGGGAGGTCTGCTTTTCTTTTGAATGCCTCAGCGTTGGAGTGCTCACCACCTCTCAAGATAATTGGTTCCACTGTCGTACTACTCATGTTCATAAATTATACATCAACATTGTTTTTTTTTAATGTATAACTTATTGTGTTTTTAATTTTACTTTTTAACACTGTGAGCTGCCTTATTGAGAGAAAGGCAGACTACAAATAAGGCAAATAAAACAAAATAGAGATATGCATAATTATTTCAATTATTCAGAGCACATTTACGTGTATGATCTAGTAGCAACCCTTGCAACAAGTTAAGCAACTTGATATTATTCCCTCTCCCCATATTCCCCCTAAGGCAGATAGAGGGATCGAGGCTGAGAGAAGAAGTTACGTGAGGCCCAGTGAGCAAGATTTCAGTTTTCTGATTCACAGCCCAATCTCTTCATCACAATACATAGCTGTTCACAGAGTGTCCACAAACACTCCGTGTTACCCGTTTCTTTCTCCCACGTCTGGAATGCCTGTAAATATTCTAAGGCATCCCATAAACTTGCTCTAAATTCTCACGGATACATCTATGTATCCTTTCATTCATTAAAATGTTTCCTCCCCCCCCCCCAAAAATAAGGCAATGGCTTTTGTGAGAAAACAATGCGTGCACCTCCACCTTTCTCCCTCATGCTAGATTCTAAGCAGGAGAAGGAACCATGCGCCCCCAAGGGCATTTTTGTTCCCCGTTTAACGGCCAGAAGAGCCCCTCCAATGTTCTGATTGGCTCACAAAATAAGAGAATCAGGCCTCTACTAGGGAAAGGGTCTCCCTCCCTAATACTGTATTAGCATTAATATATGGTTGGTTGGTTTTTTTAAACTTCTAGTGAGTTTTTTTGAAACTGGAAGTGATCTAATCACTACCTGCTTCATTGGAGGACCTGACTCACCAGATCCTCACTGATTCTACCCCACAGTGTGCCTTATTCTGCTAAGCATAATGTTGCAAGGGACCCTGCAGGTCCATTAGAGCATCCCAGGGTTCCATGGAGGAACCGCAGGGGAGAGGGCCTCCAGGCTTCTACTTTAAGGACTTCCGCTTTATTTTAACTTGAGGTCTTTTTAAACTGTACCCCCACTTTCTAAAGGGCCCTTCTCTTCTTCAAAAGAAGAACATGAGCACATCCTTAAGCCAAGAGCTGTCCTCACCGCTTGCGATGCCATCATCTCGTTGATGCTCTGCTCGTACTGCTCAGCTAAGACCGCAAGCTTTCTTGTCTGCTCGTCCTTTAGGCTCTTCAGAATAGTTTTGTGCTCACTCTTTGGAGTCACTTCCAGCTGGTGGTTCTTGAGTGCTTTATACTGCTTGGTTTGCACTTTGCATGTGTCCTGGAACTGCTTTTTGATCTGCATTTCCATGGCCTGCAGCAAATTCAAGAACAGTTCAGAAATTACTAATTACAAATATACATACATTTACATGCACATACATGCAAATAATTTTTAAACATTAAGAACGGCACAGGATCCATGAAAAGACTTTAAAGTCTGACAAGTTTTTATTCAAGATGATTAAGGGACACATTGCAGCCAATATATCTTGGTGGTTTTCCTTGAGTCTAATATGAAAGTACCAAGGGAGAACAGCTTCTTCAGAATATTGAAGACGGTGAGGGAGCAGGGAATGAACGCTCGCCCACCTTTTGACTCTGGTGAAAGGGTATGGTTTGTTCTGGCTCGACTCAAAGGCTGCAAAATCTCTTTGATCAAAAGATACAGGGAGACAAAAAGAAATATATGGGTGGAACCCATGAAAACCAATTTCTCTTTTCCCCCATGAAACCACTGTCTGTTTCCAGTTGATGTTTTCTGATTTCAGCCATTCAAAAGAACTTCTGAGGAAGCCTTAGTCCAGAATCCTATTATGCTGGAAGACTGCGGAGGGCCAATCGCTCAAGCGGTCTGTGCCACTTTGTGGTTTTCTGCTGTGCACCTTATTGTGCCCTAACTGTGCAAATCAGTAACATGTCCAGTCATGTGATGGATAACCCACAAAATGTGATTAAACAGTAAAAATGCAACAGGACTTTGGCTATAAACCATTAAGGAGCCTAAGCTTTTCCCCTGGGTGGCCGTACTTAAAAAGATGCAGTGCGCAGTCAGCATAGGCATTTGCTGTCGTGTGTCAAGTCATACAACTGCTGTGCAACAGGAAGTCTATGGCAACTTCTTACCTTGCAGCGATTCACTACTGAGATTTATGCCAACTGGTGTAAGTAACAGAGTTCTGAACATTACGGCTAAAAAACTGTTAAGCTCCATAATTCTTTTGTGGTTAAAATATATACAAACTACCCTCAGCTGGAATGAATGAGCCACTGGCTGCCTACAGCATTGCTCTGTTTACTAGTGATTCATTACAACTTGTATGTGTGGGCGTCCGTTTATTGTGGTGCCGTTTTACCTAAAGGAAGTAAACTGGGTAACAGGAGGATATGTGGCTGAGTCCCCCTTCTCCACCTTGGGTCTCCTGAAGACACAAGGCCTGGCCTACTTGCTCTGCCTTGGAAGTAGACAGGGCCTCTGGGAGACCTGGGGTCTGGTAAATCTACCCTGTGCTAAAGGTAGACCAGGCCTCCAGGGAGTCCTGTGGCCCAGTCCACCTGCTTGACAAGGAGAGATGGAGCAGGGCTCCAAACTCCTGGCACAGGCTCCCACTTGGAATGCATCCTGACCGCTCAGTGGAGTATTACTGTACACACATACAATTAAGACAGCAGTGCAAGATGGTATAGATAAACCGTCTTATACAAATTATAAACTCTCCTGCTAAATCAGAGGCAGACAATTATCCTAAGGTCACGGGCCACAATGGACTGGAGACAATTTAGCTGCTTGCTCCCCCATCAAAATATCGCCAATAGCTGCCAAACTTTCCAGCAATTCTGGTGCAGGAGAGACGGGACATCATTCTTCTGCACCACACAGTTTTGAAAAGACTGCAGGGCTGAAAGCCGACTTCCCTTCCTAAAGTGACCGGAAGGGAAAAACCCGGGAGAAATCTGTCACAATTTCAATGGCGCAGGTGGAGAGAATAGCTATAAAGGGAAGGGAAGGCATGACCCCATGGGTTGCCCACCCCTGCGGGAGGTTGCAGGCCTTGCTCCTTTGTTACCTTCAGGTTTTTGGGCTGCTGCCGCAGTTCCATGACGTGCTTTCTGTGCAGCTCCCGCTCTCGCCGCTTGTTGTACTCCAGCTGGTTCTCAAGCTCCGTCTGGTGCTGCAGCCGGATCAAGTCCATGCGTAGCTTCTGCAACATGTGCAACTGCCTGTACTCCAACTCCCGCGTCGACTCGTCGTGCCGAATTAGCATGGCGTGCTCCATCTCCTTCTGGGTTCTCTTCTTGTTCAGCTCCTGCAGGTTTCAGGAAAAAGGTGTGGGTCACCATCCAAGCCAGGTGGGAACTCTCAGCCTCTCCCATGTCACAAGATGCCTGTGGCCTCCACATCCAAGAGAACAGTCTTTTGTTTTTCCTTTGTGATTCTTAATTTGATTTAACATCTATCACACATTAAAAAAAACCCCAAACCTACAGAAAAACAACATATACAACTCAATGTGCTCCCACAACCACTGGGATCATTGAAGATACTCTATTTTTCTTCCCTTTATGGAGCCCCATTCCCCTTCCAGAAATACAGAAGGTACTCATGCAGAGGTACACAACCGTTTCCCTTAGTTAGTACAAAGTCAGTAAATTCTCCTCATATACTTCTAAACATATTCTTATTTGTCACTCCTTTTCTTGCTTTACTATATGCTAATTTATTATTAATAGCTTTATTCCACACATCTTTACACTATTCATTTAATTGGAGATAGCACTTAACTTTCCAATTCTTTGCTATTATTAATTTAGCCACCGTTACTAGATTCTTTTGTTGTCCAATTCAATTGTTCACTCTCAAATATAGATAAAAATGTTATTTTAGGACATATTCTTAAATTCAAGACAAGGGTTAAAAAGGTAGAGGTAAAGGTTCAATTTGTCCTGTCGTGTTCGACTCTAGGGGGCGGTGCTCATCCCCGTTTCCAACCCATAGAGCTAACATTTGTCCGAAGACAATCTTCCGTGTTCACGTGGCCAGTGTGACTCGACACGGAACGCCGTTACGTTCCCACCGTGGTGGTACCTATTTATCTACTCAAATTTTGCATTCTGCATGCTTTCAAACCACTAGGTTGGCGGGAGCTGGGACAAGCAACAGGGGCTCACTCCATCGCATGGATTCGATCTTACGACTGCAGGTCTTCTGACCTTGCAGCACAGAAGCTTATGTGGTTTAACCCACAACGTCACCACGTCCTAAAGCATTGCCATCTGAGCACATAAGGCACTGCAGCCCAGTGCTCACTGGGTTTATGAAAACTGTAGCACACCACATCTATTTGAAATTTTGTTGCCTAAACGTATAAACAGAGACTGGTGTATATCACTGCCTGAATAACAATGTTGCATTTTTTTTAGGAAGGTGTGTGTTTGTACATACACACACATTCATTCATTTCATAATATTGGCAACAGAAGGATATTTTACATTTTATGTCATGTATTTGTATATCTAGTTTCACAACAAACGCCATGTATTTATTGGACACTGTGTGAAGAAGTACTTCCATGGTCTGTGCTGAACCTATTAAAAATCAGCTTCAGTCGTGGGAGCTTGTACCACAACCTGAGAGCAAACCTCTCTTGCTATCTTCAGGAAGCCCTGACATCTTTTTTTTTGGGGGGGGGGGGGTTCTTCTGTAAACTGCCCAGGAGGTGGCAACCAGGAGTAACTAAGTTCCATTTAAAAGTGAGAACACCTGTAACTATGGCTATTTCCTTCTGAAGAAAAGGTGTCTCCCTCCAATCTACACCAATCCAACAACCTCACTTCTATATTTCAATATTTGAAAGAAGACGAATATGCAAGTTTCTCTTAAACTAGAAGGATCAAAAGGTGTGGTAGGGGGCTGTTTAGAAGGAGAACCACTGTTCCTGCCCAAATTTGTTTGTTTTTGTGTGTGTGTTTTTTTTAGGGAGAAGGGGCCTTGAAAAATGTCCTCGGGAACCACAGAATCCCCATACCAGATGTAAACCTGTACAGATCATCAACTGACACCTTAGGCTATCAGCTACGACAGGGAAGAAAAACGAAAGAGCAGGTGAATATAGAGGACACCTTGCCAAAGAGTGGCTCAAATACATGGAGCTGGTTGGTGAGCAGGTCTTCCCTAGGGACCTTGCAAAGGGGGAAAGAGAATCCAGAATAAACAAACAAACAAACAAACAAACAAACAAACAAACAAACAAACAAATAAATGGCCTCTTCCTCCTCCTTCCAAAATCTCCCAGCCAACATCGGCAGTAATGTTTCCAACCTCTGGGTCCCATTTTGCTGTTACCTTAGCTGCCAATTATGTCACCTTTTGAATACAGCGAATAAGGCTGAATAACCTTACTTCACTTATAATTAACTTTATTTATATACCCCCTGGATTTCTGAATAGACCCAGGGCTGCGCTAAGATGCCCAGTTTGCTAGGACAATGCAAAACACGGGACTGCCATGTGGCAACAGGCATGGCAGTGTTAACTTAAAACCTGGCAATTAGCTGTGTATGTTCACTGTATGTTTTTCACTACACCACACTTTTTGAGGAGGGGGGAGGAGAAAAAGAAAAGAGACAATGAAGGATCAGATTACGGTTAAACTTCAAACTAATACATTATTATGGTATAATTATATTCAATTAGACAGTTGGACAAATGAATGGTTGAAAACTAATGGCAAATGTAGAGGATGCACTAAGTACGAACAATTTTTATCATCACATGAAGACATGCAGAAATATGTTTTGACGAAGGGAGTAGTAAGTAGAATATATAATTTAATTTCGGAACAAGAGGGAAAAGAGATAGGAGCAGAAGGTTTGAAATTAATTTGGGAAAACAATTTAAAGACAGAAATTAAAATAGAGGATTGGATAAAAATTTGGAGGATGAGAGTTTTAAGGTTAATATCAGTAAGAATAAAGGGAAAAAATAATTTGTTTAAGGTGGTATATGACTCCTGTGAAACTGAATATAATAAATCCAGATTACTCTAAAGCTTGTTGGAAATGTGATGAAGAAGTTGGCACATATTATCATATGTGGTGGGACTGTAAATAGATTCAGAAATTTTGGAAATTGATTATTAAGGAAATGTGTGATATATTTGGAAAAGATATTGAATTTAACTCTAAAATTGCTCTGTTGTCAATTTTTGATAAGACAGATCTTTATTATTGTTTGAAAGAACTGATTTCCAATTTTATGACAAGTGCTAGACTATTAATAGGTAGGTTTTGGAAAGATAAAAATGATATTAAATTAGAAGATTGGCATGGTGTAGTATGGGACATTGCATTAAATGATAAATTGTCTACAGAACTCAAGATGAAAAGAGGCGAAATAAGTTTAAATATTGTTTATGCCATTTGGGATAGATTTGTTGAGCTTGTATTAGTGAAAGGAAAGGGGAAAGCCTCTAAACAACAACCAATACAATTTTGGAAAGTAAGTTTGTATTAAAAGTATTGTTCCAAGGCGTCCCGTGGGTATGGGGTGCACGGTAGTATTCGTAAGCACTTTGTATTTTTTTTTTAAAAAAAGAAAGAAAAGAGGCAAGAGGTTATTATACCTCTCGGATATTCTGCTGCTCCAACTCATGCCTCCTGATCATGGTTTTTCGTTTGAAGAAACGGCAGTTTTTGTCATAGTAGAGTCTCTGCTGGCTGAGAAGATGGGCCTCCTCTTCAGCCTGTGTGTGCTGCAGGTTCTCCTTGTGTTTGGATATCCTCTCCTGCTTCTCCTTCTTCGGTGTGCTGTGATCCTCGTTCATTTCCTGTACACGCACAGAGAGGGAAGGGCCAAGAACCAAACCCGTATGTTAAAAAGTAGCCTGACAGGCAGCGAAACATGTAAGGTCCCCTTCCTTGCCATTCCTACAAGTTTACAAACTGAAGACAACATGGAAAAGACCCCAGCATTGACCAGGTCAGTTAGGAAGTTCTCACTCAAAATGGGACTATAGTGAAAGGCTGTCAAACAAGGGGCTAAAGATTCAAGAGAAATGGGAAAGCAAGGACGTAACAGCCTAACAAGACCAGGATTAGTTTCCTCCACTGCTTTAATATCTTCCGGGCTCATACTGGGCTGGTTCGTCACCTGCATGTCCCTCAATATGTTACTGCTCAACCTCAACCACGCCTTCTCTCCCCCCCCCCAAATGATGACTCTGATGGAGAGGGCCATCTTCAGAAACAATTACCATATTTTCCATGTACTGTATAAGACTATAAGGTAAAGGTTCCCCTTGACATTTTTAGTCCAGTCGTGTCCGACTCCAGGGGGCAGTGCTCATCCCGCTTTTCAAGCCATAGAGCCAGCGCTTCTCTGAAGACAGTCTCCATTATCACATGGCCAGCGTGACTAGGGAACCCCGTTTTACCTTCCCACCGAGATGGTACCAATTTATCTACTCGCATTTACATGCTTTCAAACGGTTGGCGAGGAGCTGGGACAAGTGATGGGAGCTCACTCTGTTGCGTGGATTCCATCTTACAACTGCTGGTCTTCTGACCCTGCAGCACAGAGGCTTCTGCGGTTTAACCCGCAGTGGCACCACTTTTGTCTAAAATCTTTAGACTAAAAATTGAGGGTCATCTTATACACGGAAGTAAGCTGAGGAGAGAACAAAAACAAATGGAGGGGAAAGCAGGGATCAAAGCAAATCTGCAGCGCTTTGATCCCTTTCCCCCTACACTTGCTAAGCCCCACTTATTTTTCTTAATTTTGGATTAGAAAAGTGGGGGACGTCTTATACACGGAAAAATATGGGTATATGATATACAAGCTTAAACACAACACTCCTCAGAATTTCCGTCCAGAAAGATGCAAGCCCCTTGCCCCTCAAGATTACACCTGGCAAGATTTAACCAGTTCATACATACAGTAACACAGGCTAGAAAGAGTGGAAGAGTGAAAATGACTTTAAGTTCACAGACTAGGGCTGGAACCAAAGTACACAGAATGGAAATTGGAATCTATGACTTCAACCAAGGCTTCCCTTCAGCAAAATACATTGCACAGGAGGATGAGGAGGAGGCTGTGACAGACTGATCAGAATAAATCTCAACACACACTTGTTTGGAATGGATCTTACTGAAAAAAAAACCAAGTTATTTCAAATAAAATAAAATGTCACATGATCAGAATAAATCTCAACATACACTTGTTTGGAATGGATCTTACTGGGGAAAAAAACAAGCTGTTATTTCAAATAAAATAAAATGTCACATGAAAATTGAGGATAAAGGGGGCATTATTCCATGGCAATTTTCCCATCTCAGAATTCACTGTGCAAACTGACTTACAGTCATGGGTGCACCAGAGGAATTGTATGTGGCCATTACACTAACCAGACATATCTAAGGGTCATTCGCCAAGCTTCCCTAGGAGATGCACTGGAAACACATCAACAGCAACCCCTTGAGTTCTGCTCATGTGGGGGCAAAAGTATGCAGCCAGGAGTTGCTTCGGTTTTTTCCTCTCAAGCTGCCACATGCCTCAGGTTTTGTGAACCAGCCACTAAAAGAGAGTAGACCAAAGCCCCTGCCTTTTTCTGTTTAGCAACTTTTTTTTTGCAAAATCCAGAAAGGTAGCAAGGGCTAGTAGTAATTTTCCCCTGCATCCCCTCCAAAAAGCTCTTGCCCAGTATAATCCGACCCACCATGTAAAAAGAAATGAATGTTGCTTATTTTACAGCTAAGCTAGCCTACACCTCAAGACACATAGAACTAGGTAAGCTTGCTTTGAAAGGGGAAAATGTCTTATTTAGTAGAAGTAAGCTGCCATTTCCTTAATTTAAAAGCACGGCACTAACATATCACACATGACTACAGCCCATGTTCAATGTTGTGGTTGCACTGCCTCTCTGGGACATGGGCTGTATGACAGCCCTAAAAGATTTAGATGTCATAACCACATCACATATTTAAAACAATACTGGAATGTATTATTAACCCCTGTATTACAGAGGAGGGTGTGGATCTCAAAGAAGGGGGGTTGCCAAGATATGAATTCATTCTGAGGGAACTTTTGAACTCAGAGCTAGTGTCTGAGTAGGAATCCGGATACATGGGTTTAAATCCCTGCCTAACTAAAGAAATTCACTCATGGTGGAAGTATGACCACTCCTTGAACCTATCACAGACATTGAAACTCCATTAGTATCCCAACAAGTCAGAAACAAACTGACAGCAAATAACAGCAGTAACTTTTAAGCTAAGGTAGGAGTGGAAATGAGGGTGAAAGAGGAGAGCACAAAAATGGTCTAAAGCTCAACATCAAAAAGATCATGGCAACTGGTCCCATCACCTCCTGGGAAATACGGTAGAAGGGGAAGATATGGAGGCAGTGACAGATTTTACTTTCTTGGGCTTCATGATCAGTGCAGTTGGTGACAGCAGCCACAGAATTCAAAGAAGCCTGCTTCTTGGGAGGAAAGCAATGACAAACCTAGACAGCGTCTTAAAAAGCAGAGACATCACCTGGCCAACAAAGGTCCACACAGTCAAAACTTTTTTCCAGTAGCGATGTATGGAAGTGAGAGTTGGACCATAAAGTAGGCTGACCATGGAAGAACTGATGCTTTTGAACTGTGGTGCTGGAGGAGACCCTTGAGAGTCCCCTGGACTGCAAGGAGAACAAACCTATCCATTTTGAAGGAAATCAACCCTGAGTGCTCACTGGAAGGACAGATCCTGAAGCTGAGGCTCCAATACTTTGGCCATCTCATGACAAGAGAAGACTCCCTGGAAAAGACGCTGGCAAAGAGTGAAGACAAGAGGAGAAGGGGACGACAGAAGATGAGATGGTTGGACAGTGTCATCGAAGCTATCAACATGAATTTGACAAAACTCCGGGAGGCAGTGGAAGACAGGAAGTCCTAGAGTGCTCTGGTCCATGGGGACATCAAGAGTCGGACATGACTTAACGACTAAACAACAACAAGGTGTGGAAAACCTACAACCATTCAAACCTTACTGGGCTCCCATCAACTTTCCTCATTGGCTATGTAACAAGGATGATGGCAGTTGTAGCACAGCAGTATCTGCAGCACAGCTTCATGTTTTTCCACCCCTGATCTAGGAACTTAAGTGGGTGTTGTAGAAGTTAGCATGTTAGATGTTCACTGAAGACATATTATTCACATTATTATGTCTGAGGCCAGTAGGTCCTACCCAAGGATCTGATCTGTGTTCAACATAATCATTAATGCAAACCCTAGGTGTAGCAATTACTCTTCATTTCATGATTTGGAATGCAGGAGTTACTTTGCACACAGGTTTAAGCTTCGTACAAAAGACAGGTTCACAAAGTTTACCAGTGCACAGGGATGCTTGGTGACCTTTATGCCCCACATATTTGCTTTCCAAGGAACAGAAGAGTAGATGCAGGTCAGTGACTGAGTTTGTTTTCAGTCTGTGCTGTAAGTGTATTTTAGGGCAAGTACCTAAAATAGACTCGTATGTTTGAGCCACTAAGATGGAGAGCAGTGCGCCCAGGTAAGCTACTGCAATTGTCTTAAAAGCTCTTTAGCTGCAGGCATTTCTTTTTTAAAAAAAAAAGAGACAGAAAACGATGTTTTAAAAATATGTTCGAAGAATATTCATAGTACAGTGTCCAGATTATATGTGGAAGAAGCTTAGAGGATGCATTGTTGATAATACTTCAGAACACTTCATAGTGGAAAAGGAAGTGGGCAGAAGCTGAAAATGTTTGTGGTAGATGTGACCCAGGTTACAGAAATAAAGGATAAGCCAATGATAGGAGTGTGTAGGTTCAAATATTTGGACATAAGTCAGGAATAACTAGGGGCATTCCATACATTTAATGGATAGACATTAGAGGTTATATCAGACATACTTCTATGGAAAATTCTAGCTCTCTGACTGACATATTTGCACATAATGTATATACATGTGTGCACTAACATTCAGTTCTGTGCAGGGACAGATTAATGAGCTATCCCAGGGAAAGTGAGTTCTCTATACATATTCGAACGTTGCCCCTACATTCACACCCTAAGGACAGAAAAAATGATGGCAATTTTTCTCCTTCCTGACATTTTCAGAAAAGACATCATGACCCTCTCCAAATAATAAACAAACAAACAAAAAAGAAAAAAACATAAGTCAATGTGAGATTTTTTTACATATTTGCAGAAATGAATAGACCAGTGCTTTTTCTTGCCAGCAACATCTCAGCAAAAATGAAACAAAACAAAAAACCCAAGGATTCTTGCACAAAAAAGACTTTTTTTGTGTAGAAAGTTCTATTTTGCACACAATACACGTTTGCTGTGCAGAATACAAGATATGGCACAAAAACAATCCCACAGTATTTTCCTAAAGAAGCTGCCAAAATATGGAAAATGTGTGTAAACTCTTATAATCTTGCCCAGGAGGAAGAAAACTTCAAAAAAAATTGTTCTTGCCAATGAGAACAAAGTAAGCAAAGATTTACACCCCTATCGTGGCTTCAGCTGCTGTAGATATACTCTTCAAATATTTTCTCCATGATGGGCAAATTGCATTTGGAAAATATCTCTGTGCTGCTCGTCAGCAGAGGACTGTTTCACAGGCCACCAAAAGGACACAACGAACTGCCCCCAATTCTACTGAGTTCAGTAGTTTGGTGACACAGCAGCCAGCATTTTGCCTGCAAGAAGCCTGCCAGCAGGACATGAACACCACAGCCCCCTTCTACTCATGTGCCACAGCAGCTGGTATCAAAAGCATCTACCATCTCTACTGTTGGAGGGAACATGTGTTAATCATGTGACACCTATTGCTAATCTACTCCATGAACTTTGAAGCCACTGCTATATCCTGCGGCAGTAAATTCCACAGTTTAAGTATCAACTGTGTGGAGAAGTCCTTCCTTCTATCTGTGGCAGGTGACCCTGCACATGTACGTGGATCCATGTGCACATTCCAGCCTATGTACAAAAACTGAACATTCATTTCATCACAGAAGCAGCACTGAGTATTCCCACATTCCAAAATTAAACAACTAAAATGAAATTAAATAAGAGACAAATTTCCAAGACAAATACATATATGTGAGGTATTCTTACCCAATGTAGGACATTCATTAAGGTTGACTTGGAAGATGATATTAAAACTAGGAAGTAATCTACATCTTAATAGAGGAGAGCTTTTTCATGGATATCATCATTAATGCAGATGGCTAGGAGTTTCTGTCTACAAATGTAAAGGAAGGGCCCTGTTCTCCTAATTCAATGGACTCTTGCTAAGAACAACGGTTTCAAGAACTGGTGGCAAGTTCAAACCACTACAGAATGGAGACTTTGTCTACAGATGTAAAGGAAGGCTAAAAGGTTACTCAAAGGGCAGCGTTACACAGACTATACTTCAACTGGGCACTCAAGTCAGACTAAATTATATCCAGCAGCGCCTCAAGGATGCAAGGATAATTAAGACACCAGAGGAACTTCTATATGCTCATTGAGAGTGTTCTAGACAAAGAGCATGCAACGGCCTCAGGCAACCCTCTGTGACAGGCTGGCATTCAGGGTGGCAACTACACTGATGTATCACCGTAGGAAACAGGGCCCTGTTCTCCTAATTCGATGGACTCTTGCTAAGAACAACAGTTTCAAGAACTGGTCGCAAGTTCAAACCACTACAGAATGGAGACTGTAGCTAACTGGGATGGCAAGTTCAAGAAGGTGCTAGGAAACAATCATGCTTTAGCACAGTAGTAGCCATACATTATATGTTATGTAGCATGGCATTGGCTATTGTTCTTTGGACTCCTACCCTGCCTGCACTCAGTTTCTGCTGTTTCCTTCCTCATGCAGCCAAGTCAGGAATTTTCCTGTAGCTGCCAATATGCAAACAAGCACCAGAGGCTCCCCTCTTAGATTTACTGACCACCATCATCATAGTACATTTATCCCGTATCGACCCTACTTCTTCCCAGGCAATGGGTTTCTTGGAAGGTGGATACATGCAAGAAAATGCTAGCCCTCCCTGATTTTAAAGCTATGACTGGAAGTATGCAAACAATTTGCAGTGAGGATCTCAGGTGGTGGAAGTAACTTTTGATAATTAAAACAGAATTTTGTCTGATCTTTTTAAAGTACTGTATTTGTACACTTGCTTTATTGTCTTTTAATGATGTAAGCCACTTTGGGTCCTTTCAAGGAGAAAGGTGGGCAAAAATGAAATGGAATGGAATAAATGAATGACCTTCTGTTAATCATGTTGTTATGTGCTGTCAAGTCAAAACCAACTTCTAGTGACCCTAATAGAACTTCCAAGGTAAGTGAGATATTTAAGGAGAAGTTTTATCAGTACCTTGCCCCAGTGAGTTTTCACAGCTGAGCAAGGGCTTGGACCCACCCTTCCTGAGTTCTAGTCTATTATACAATACAATACACTGGCTATTCACCGATAATCCTAGCCCCCTCTGAATAGTCGTAGAAAACAGAATCAGTCAGGCAAAAGAGAGTATTATTTAAAAAAACATGGTTAGTTAAAGATATGTTTAATCTGTACCATCCATAAACATTGCAGAGTTCAGCTTTTGTTATTGCCGTGGCATCTACAGTTGTTTGGTTCCCTAGGGCCACTTCCATACAAAGCCCTGCTGTTAAGCCACTACTCTGCATTAGGTTCACACCTCAGGTGTATCAAGGCAGACACAGCTACTGCAGATTTAAAGATCTCTCGTTCCCTTGTGGATTCACCAGCACCCTGAATATTGTAGAAATTGGGGTGGGGTGTGGACTCTTCTTCTGCGAGGTGGTATGGATGGTTCAATGTAAGGACAGTGGGTTATTTAAAACGTACAGTACAGTGATGCCTTGCAAGATGAAAATAATTTGTTCCGCGAGTCATTCTATATTGCAAAAATTTCGTCTTGCGAAGCTCCATTTCCCATAGGAATGCACTGAAATTTAATTAATGTGTTCCTATTTGTCTTGCGAAGCACGGCCATAGAAAAATGTGTCTTGCGAGTCACCAAGAAAAAAATATATCACAAAACGCTTTCGTCTTGCAAGTTTTTCGTTGTGCGGGGCATTCGTCTTGTGAGGCATCCCTGTATTTCATTCATCTTCACTATCCACTATTAGCCTTTTGGAGAGGTCAGCCTATAAACTCAAATGAGAAAAACAGACAGACAGTCCACTGGGGATGCTTGACAATGACGTCCCACCCTCTCGTATTTTAAGCAAAATGACTGACACAGTTTCAAGTTCATCCACAATGTCACAACCCTGGATACGCTTTCACCTTCACTCAGAATAAAACCAGGAAGAACTTTGCTTGCCTCTTTAATCTTTTCCTTGCAAATCTTGTATTGCTTCTTCTGACTTTCTAAGAAATTGGTCAGATCCCTTTTTTGCTGAGTCAAAATCTGCTGCTGGAATTTCTTCTCATCTGCTGCCGCTGACTTTGCCTGAAAAGGGTTGGAGGAAAGAAATTGGTTGTTAGAATTTCACCACATTTTACCCCCTGCTGTTCTAGCATCCCTTGTGCTGCTATATGCCCAGTACCGCCTCCCTATCTGTGTAAACGTTTGTCTCCTGGAGACCTGTTGCCTTTCCCATCCCATTTTTCCATCTCAGAACTGGAATCTTCTGCTCTCCATAATGACTACTGACCACACCGTCCATCCCAGAACACTCACGTGCCCCCAAACCAGCTTAGAACTAGCAGTTGGCTTGTACACAATCAGACTATTAATTCATCCGACTCAGTACTCCGTATTCTGGCCAGCCACCTCCTCCTAAAACCACAACTGGAAGGATCTCGCACTCTTGCTGCTTGAGCTCTATTAGGTGTCTCTGGATAGTGTTGAACTCCCAACTCCTTTCAACGGAGCCAGCAGAGAGCCAATGGTCAGAGAGACAACAGCAGCCCTTCAACATCTGGGGGCCCAGAGGTCCCTGCTTTAACTATAGTCACCAGTGAATTGTGCTTTGGCCAGCGTGCATGCAAAGTGTGGATCCAGATACTGAATACAGTCTTTCTGCATTAGCTAGATGAGGGTGGAGCCAAGACCAAGGCAAATTTTGACTGCAAGACAAAGGTGTGGCCTTAAACTCTGCTTGCTGAAAAATAAACTTTACTGAAATCAATGACAATTTCAAGCCAGTGCATTAAGAATCAGGAAGTAAGTAAGCAATTCCAAGAATTTAAGCAAACATGTCTAGAAATTATTCTGATTATAGCAAAGATCTGGATTATATAGTGGGATCATAACTACTTGTCCATTATAGAGCAGTGGCTTAAAGCACATTAAATACAATGTGGGAGAATTTTAAGTTGAGGAGGGAAGCTTTGTAACCAAGCTACCCCAGACTCCTACTCCATGCAAAACATTTGCAACTAAAAGCATGCCCAGCTTCCAGCCTGTGCATGTTCTGCTTGAAGACCTGCAGGGAGGAGGAGTCCACTGATGAACTGCAAATGGCTTCCACTGTTGTCCTGCTTTTCCTATCATTCAAATCAGTGGTTCTTAACCTTTGTTACTCAGGTGTTTTTGAACTGCAACTCCCAGAAACCCCAGCCAGTACAGCTGATGGTGAAGGCTTCTGGGAGTTGCAGTCCAAAAACACCTGGGTAACAAAGGTTAAGAACCAGTGATTCAAATGAACTCTGTTCTCTCCTAAGCTGCACCTTTCAGAGGACCAGCCCTACCTACCAAAGCAGCAAAGAACGCATCTTAGCTTTTGCGTCTTTGTGACAGGTATTTGAACAAGGCTATTCTCTTCTCTTCTATATTAACCTCTTCTCCAGGCTTAACACACTCATTTCCTTAACCACTCCCCCATTTTTTTTTTAATTTTGTTCTCTTTTGCTATATCTCTCAGCATCTATTTTCACGTCCTCCAAAGCTGACTGCATCTCTATAAATTGTTCTAAACCTAATTTTAAGCATACATCCTTACAATTAATAGATGTGACACCCATAATTGGGTCTATGGTCTGACTAGTAGGGAACAAACATACTTTTCGTATCTTGGAAATTATGATTAATGAAACTTGAAATAACATTAACTTTTTTTGCAGACATATAACGTTGCTTATTTGTGTCCAGCTTTTGAATGACTGAATCCAAGATTTTTGCTCCTCGTACATCACTGTCAAGACAGATATTCCCAAACATAGATCTGATAATAATTCTTAGTAACTAAATGCAAAGTTCTACAACTATCTACTGAGTTTTTGGTCTATTACTTACTGTCCAAGTTTCCCATCCTCGTAATTTATACATTATCCTTGTCTTACGAACTGTTAGATAACTATTCTAAGGATGTGCTGCCTCATATGTTGACAAAATTCTTCTACACTTTTTCTCTAAATAGTTCATTAAACTTCACTGAAAATACTGAAGCCAGAACAGTGGCTGCAGCACCTTCTTGAAAATTTCCTCTTGTCTGACAAGATGTCAGAACTCTGGATTCTACAAGTTTAGTATGTAAGCATGGGGATGGGTTATATTCCTAAATGCCCCATGGTATTTTAAACCCCATTCTCTGCATGCAGAGATATAGCACCATCAGAGTTAGTACAGCCCTCTTTCTGATATGCTTGCTAGTACTGAAAATGTATTTCTTTATTTAGAAAATGTCTATATCCTATATTTCCTTAATAAAACTCAAATGCAGGTAACAAAGGTGAATTAATAATATTTACTACACACACTGGGCTTTTTAAACTCATGGACCTTCTATAATACGACATCCTCAGAGTTCATAATGTAAAGTGCTGCAAGTTCACAAACCTACCACATTTTGACTAATGAATGGATTAGCTCTGAAGTATGTATTTGAATTTAGTTCTCTGTAGAACCAGGAAAGTGAAATTTTTTTGAGACTATGGTTTTGTCTATCTGGGCTCATTGGAACAAGCTGAAACAAGCTAAATAGGGTTGTTAGAGACTGAGTTGAGGTCTAGTATAGCATTTGGCGTGATTCTCATATTCAAATAGCATACGCCCTTCAAGTGACCGTATTTGGCCAAGCTCCTTCCTCTTTTTATTTCCCATATCATGAAGTAGCTTAAAGAAGACAGCCACTCTGTGATATTTGGAAATGAAACACTTCCTCTGCTTCTCCATGGAAGAGCAGAGAAAGTAACATTTATACCTTGTTTCCTCGAAAATAACCAAAGACAGCCACTCTGTGATATTTGGAAAGGAAACACTTCCTCTGCTCCTCCATGGAAGAGCAGAGAAAGTAAAATTTATACCTTGTTTCCTCGAAAATAACCTAACCTAAAAATAAACTCTAGTATGATTTTTAGGATACTTGTAATTTAAGCCCTACCCCCAAAATAAGCTCTAGTTAAGTTAAACCCTGCCCTCCACCATTGTGCAGCAACTCGAAGATGATATGACTGTATTTGAATAAATATAGATTGTTGTACAAACAAAAATAAAAAATAAAAATAAAACATCCCCTGAAAATAAACCCTAATGTGTTTTTTGGAGCAAAAATCGCTGTAGACCAAAAACGTCGTAATGCGAAAATAAAAAGCTCATTGAAACGCATTGAAACCCCTTCAATGCGTTCCAATGGGCTGGAAACTGTCCAGCGAAGATCCTCCATAGGGTGGCCATTTTTGGTGGCTGTCTTGTGAGGAATCCGTCCCAGAAAACAGCGGGGAGCCATTTTATTTACCCGGCGGCCATTTTAAAACCGCCGATCAGCTGTAGGAAAATCGTCGTTTTGCGAAGAATCGGTCCCCGAAGCAGGGAACCGATCATTGCAAAGCGAAAAAAAAACGCTATTCAGACCATTGTATCGCGATCGCAAATATATCGTCGTAATGTGGTTTCGTCGTTATGCGGGGCAATCGTAAAGCGAGGCACCACTGTATTTTAAAGACTGTATTAGGGCATCAGTGATGGCTGCATCACTTATAAAAAATGAAAGGAATTTTGAAAACTTCCTTCTGGAACCTGCTCATTGCTAAATACCCACGTAGCCTGCCACTTCTGCTACCAAAATCGCTCAACCAACATGTCCAGGATCCTAAGAGTTGCAGCCCCAAAGAGGTACATTCTTCCAAGCTTTGCATTCTCTGGTCCCTAAACAAGACAGGGCTCCATTAGGACTGACCTCCTTTTCTATGACGGCCACTTGCTTCTTGGCCAGCTTCTCCAGCTCAATGGACGAGTTGTTGGCATGAGTCTCCACCTCTTTCTGCAGCTTGAGGCGGTGCTCGTCCATTTCAGCCTTCAGCTTGTTTTCCAGGGCGATCAGCTGCTTCTGGTGCTGGCGCCGCATCCGCTTATATCCTGACATCTGTTCCCGCAACTCGTTCTCCTGCTCATGCTCATGGATCTGCCTTGTAACCTATGGTCACCAAAGGAAACAAGATTAATCATCATCTTACCTCCTGCTTGACAAGAGGGGTAATTCCAAAGAAAATCCCATCTTTTTGAAATCCATATTAGCCACAAGGGATTTTTTAAAACTACAAATCCCATAATTCTCCATTCAGGGAGTTCTACCTTGCCAGATACCTAAAGGAGGCTCACCTCAGAGAAAGGCCTAAACTTTGAGGCCTAGATCTATCTAGCTTCCTGTTCAGAAAGAAAGACCTCAGGTAGCATCGGGGCAGGAGCATGAAGCTTAAGCCAACCTGGGCCTGAAAGACTTCCAGTTTGGTCATTATCTCAGAAAAGTCACCTTTGGACATCTGTAAAGTGTCTCTCTGATAGAACTTCCAGAGTGGAGAAGTATGAGATTTGTAGTCCAAAAAACAAAACAAAGACAGACAGACAGACACACACACACACCCCTGAAAATCCCATGCCTATTAGCCATTTTAAATGTTCCCAGGAGCAGATCTGACAGAAAAAGGAGCAGCAGATCTGGTGGCCAAACCCTGCACCTCTAACTGCTAAATTCCACCGCCTGACGTGCACGTCATCTGTGGCTTTACAGCCCGGCAAACAGGGGATGAAGGCAGAATCTTCAAAGAGGGAGATCTGGCCCAGATCTTCCGGCACTTTGTGGCTTCAACATGTCCTTAGAATGAGAAGAAACACCTCCTGCAGAAGGCTCACCATCTCTAGTGGTCCCCTAGGCACCACCTTGCAAAAACAACAATGACAATGAAGAGGAGGATCTCTCAGACCGAACAAACCAGGTACCCAGCTCCACAGATTCCTGCTGGCTAATGAAAATTCAACAGAGCAACGTAAATTCCCCCCTGACCTTAAAATTCTTTTTCTCTTCCACTATAGCACTAGACCAATGATGCAAAATTCTGCCTCCAACTGCTACCAGGAATCAGACCTAAAAGGTGTGCTAGGTCTTCATAGTCCAGGCTTAAATCTGATTACAGATTCATGGCTTGTTTGAGAGACCAGAACTCATAAAAAGAAACACGAAGCTAGAATATAGTGTGTGGCAGTCACTGCTTCATCCAAATGTTTCCTAGGTCACACACAGCCCTTAGATCAGAGGCCTTTAAGTCACTATTTTGTATTGCTTAACTATGCTTGTTTTCCCAACCTTGTACCTTTCCTGATGCCCAGTTCGACAGATGTATAGCCTTGGTTTTCACATAGCTGCTTTGCAGAATCCTATACAGAAGCAATAATTTACATCAGAACCCTATTCTATACTCTAATGTATGTGGTAGTGCTTCCTCCTACTAAGTCAGCATATGATGGTAGCTTCAGAATTATTAGCCCCAGTCTTCTTCAACATATCACCCTTCCGTAAGGGATGATGGAGTGACGGACTAACTCATCTGCAGGATGGAGAAGGCTGGCCTAAGACAACCATCCCAGCTGGAAATGATGGGAATAGCTGAGTTAGAAAGGATTATCAAGTCTAGTCCCCAGCTCAATGGAGGAACACAAATCAAAGTACATCTGTATAAAGCTGTGTAACTTTTTCTTCAGTGCTTCTAGTGATGGAGTGCTCACCGTCTCCCAATGGTTCCACTGTCATACTACTCTTGCAGATAGGAAGTTTACATACAGCATATATTTTCAACCAAAATCTGGCTTCCTGTAACTTGAACCCATTATGAAATGTTTTTCATGTTAAGCATCCTGTCATCCAGAATTTTCGAAGTGATACCCATAGGCTGTGCAAACATATCAGACAAGAAAGAAAACAAGACTAAAAAAAAACCCAAAACAAATCCTGCAAAAACCAAAATTTAAAAAGGAGACAAAAATGTTGGATAACTTAAAGACTTGCTGCTATATTTAAATGTAAGCTTTTGTGGATGAAGTCCACTTTTGTTTTGTTTCTAATATGTCATCTGGAAGAGATGCTACAGGACACAAGAAGTTCTGCTTATGAAGCTCTGCCATTTCTGCAGGTTCTGTCATAACTATAGCTAAAGAAGAGCTGTCTAGGCCAGCCTGTGCTTGTCTGGGCAACACAGAGCCCTCTGGGACTGAACTGAGCCAGGCAGAGACAAAGATATCAGCCAGAGACCGTGGAAGTTTTAACAGGAAAAACAAATGCAAGGCTGATCTCATCCCCTGGACCAGCAGAACTTTGGACAGCTCCTAAGCAAGAAATCAGCAATAATTTCTAGGGCAAAACTGAATGAATGGTAGTGGAATGTACAGCTGTACACAAATAACCCCTTGGAGTTTATTCACCCACTTTTCCAGGATAAAAGTATGGCCAAAAAAAATTCTGATTGTAACAAGGTGTGCACTGAGTATGTTGCAGGCAAGTGAATGGTTATTGCTACTGGAAAAGACAAACTCTGTCTCTGATTCATGCATCTGCTCAGCCAGATCAGCCAAAGATGTTCTTCCAGGGGGCAGTTTAGGAAGAGAATGAATGAAAGCAGAAGTAGATATTGAAGTTTCTTATTGGACTGTCATCTGAAAGAGCTGACTAACTAGAGATCCAAGGGAGGGAAAAGGACAGAGTAAAGTAGTTTGGGATTTCTCCCAATGGGTTGGTTCTTAAGTCCCAACAAAGCAGAGCAAGGAAAGTGCTGTGAAATCTCTGCCTCCCCTTATTTCACACTTCCTAGAAACAACAATACCTTTGTCTGGATCATGGGTTCCCATCATTTTTAAGTATAATAAATATTCTTAAAACACGTCGCTTTCCCTTAAGTAAGTTCTCAAGTGGATCTTTGAAGCTTACTGTGAATCTTTTGCTTGCTCACACCAAAAAGCAGAAAGGATGTTTTTGCCCTGAATCATCAAAGCAGCAATAGTCTGGCTGGTTATTAGTTATTTAGAGTATCTGCATCACCCAGTCTAATCTAAAGCAGAGGCAGGGAGCTGCTGGCCATCCAGATGGCTTGAACTCCTGGAAACCCTATACAGTGTGGCCAATGATAAAGGTTTGGTAGGGAAACCAATGAGCTATATTCATTACAAGGCTAGACTGGGATTTGGGAGATGTGGGTTCAAATTCCTGATTTTGGGCCAGTTACACTCCTTTACCCTAGGTTGGTTGTGAAGATAACACAAGGAGGAAAAGAGACATATACACTGCCTTGAACTCAGTGGAGGAAAGATTGGATATAAACTAATTAACTGCTCAAATCGGGAGAGATGTAATCTAAAACATTTACAGGGACAAAGGTCCTCCCCCTCCCACAGCCTAAAGGACTACAGTGGCTTAAACCAACACAAAATTATTAAAAGCTTCCCAATTAAGCCATGGGCCAGCAAAAATGTCTCAGCTTTCAAACAAGATTGGAGGATTCAAAGAAATCTAAAAGCCTGGGATTGGGGAAGAGGTGTCTTTGCCTGTTGCCCCAAAGATATGATGCTAGGTGATGCTAGATATGATCCTCAGGGAAAGCTAATCCTCACCCCAAAAAGCATTATCCTTCATTGTTGCTTCTCTTACTTCTGTACTGTATCTACTGTTATCTATTATCTTCTTTCATCAGCCAGAGTTGTTATCTAGCTCATCTTGTTTTCAACAACTATTCACAAAGTGCTACTTGGTTTTAGTAGGTAAGGCCAACTTCAGTATCTCCCACCCATTTTTTATTTTTAGTCTCATTCTCTGCTATAGCAACACAGATTCAAATAGCCTTTAAAGTTTATGTCTTCAACTCTCAGTACCACCAATTAATATTTGCTCTCACCAGTTTATCAAATACATCTAACAACTGGTGCATCCACCAATTAAAGCTCACAGACACACTTGTAATTTTCAGAAGTCTTTGTAATATGTAACTGTGCAGTCCTCACAATGTGCTTTGTACCCACTTCCCAGGATGCAGACAGGTCCCCATTCATTCATTCATTCATTCATTCATTCATTCATTCATTCATTCATTCATTCATTCATTCATTCATTCATTCAATGTGTATACCACCCCAACACACTACTCTGGGCAGTTTACAATTGGCTGAAAACAAAATAAAGATAAGTCAAATAAACAGCATAAACAACACTCAGACACAGTGCTAAGAGGCAGAAATTGCAAAATTAAATGTGCATGGGGTATATACAGTAACTGAAAAAATGAGTCAAGGGATATTAACAAGGGTGTGTGTGTGCTGAAGTAGGGGTCCTAGCAGACAATTTCTAGTGGCTTATCCGTCTTTCCTCCTAGCTTAGTGGAGTGAACTTTGGAATTCAAAGATGAGATACCAGCTTGACTGTGCACTCAGTCAGAGGACTGCAGGGGCTAACTCTGATCCACTGCCCCTGATACGGGCATCATCTAAGCTGTTGCCTCCTTCTCTCTGGATCCTGATCTGCTTCCAACTTTCCTGGTTCTTGGAAAGGGCTCTGCAACCTGACTCATACTTGCTTTGAACTGTATACTTGTGTCTGGCCCACTTAGACTCACAGGCAGCTGGAACCCAAATACCCAGCTCTTTACCCTTGCTAAGATGTGAAAGACAGCAACATAGCAAGCTGCTTTGTGTCACATTAGGCCACTGGTCCATCTAATCATCTTGTACCCCAGTTTCTGGTTACATGGGGGACTGGGCTACTTTGGAAGTCTCTTTAAATAGGCTGTGGAATGGAGTTAGCAGAACCAAGCTGAGACTCAGAAAAAGGAGTTTTCACACTGACACAGTTCTCTGCAAATGTGGAGAAGAACTAGCAACATCACACTATGCCAGTGTACTGTATGCCCCTCAACATGTATTATGGAAGATCTGATTTGAGTTACCCAAATGTTCTTGATGTTGCCTGTTATTGGATGAAAATTATCTGACACACTTACGTAAGATTTCCAGTTCTCTTTTTGTAAACTAGTTTGTATTTTACATGCATTTATATGCAGATTATTGCCTAATTTTATATTGCATTCTGTTAATAGTATTGTGGTGGTTCTGACACAAATAGCAAAGAATGCTTCTGAGAGAAAGGTGAAATATAAATCA